GCACGAACCTGGCACATTACACATATTTGTTGTTTTATTGTTATTTTTATTATATTGTCAATTTATATATTTATGCACACAACATCCTCTTCCGTTGCAATACGTCTGCACAACACAAACCAGAGTAATGCACATGTAAATATCTATCTATCTAAATGTCTATTATTCTTATCCAACTTGCATTTGTTTATTCCATATTTATATATTTCTACATCTATTTATGTCAACAGTATGTTTTGTCTGCGTGTAGCACCAAAGCAAATTCCTTGTATGTGTTAAACATTACTTGGCAATACAGCTCCTTCTGATTCTGAACAGAGCTGCTGCAAGTTTATTTAGGCAACATGTAGCAGCAGATTATTTCTCTTCTATTAATTTACTGGTTTGACAGTTGACACATGTTTCTACACCCTGCATTTAGTCACAGGTGGGTAGCTGCAATTGCAATATGTTGTTACAATACATATTTGCCTAAATAATATTCTTTGTGTGGTCCCACCAGGTGCAGACGACTTGGTGCAACACTGGTGAAGCTGGGGCGCCATCTCTCTGCCACTATACACAAACGCTACGCCTACACATGCGCATTGACCCCCCCTTCCTTAAGGGTCATTTTGTATTTATTCACGCAATTTAAAAACATTAAAGATTTTTTTTCCTTTTTACATGTTTATTTGCATCATTATACATTGATATCTATTTTGTAGTATGCAGTATATTAATCTATTAGGAGAAAACTGGTAGTTCTATGTAAAATCAGACATTGAGCACCCCCATATCGTCAAAATGCCATGATTCTTGTTTTCCTGCAAAGCTTCGACTGTGAGATTGACAGTCAAATCAGGCTCCACCCAAGGAAGCATTGGCTCTTCGACTATTTGAGGTGAGCCCTAACTTTTATCTGGATGAATTGACAATAGTTTGGGTCTAGTGCAGAGAAGGGAGGGTAATCGACATTTTGTGTGAGAGCACAACATATCACCTCTCAGCCTTTCCCACACACAGAACGGCTCTCATCTCTCTCCCAGTGTTTCCCACAGGATTTTAAGAGACTATGGTGGGTGGGCCTCTGACCCTCTCGGGGTGTCCGGCAATTGTAAGTCGCTTTGGATAAAAGTGAAAGCTAAATGTAATGTAATGCATTAATTTTGTGTATAATTAAGAGGCTACTATGAAGAACTTTGTAAGCTTGTAAACGATGTGAACAACATTTTATTGTTGTTGTTCTTACTTTTAAGGGACACATGTAATATGTTTTATACTTTCTGTGAATATAATCCAATTAATCTTACTTCCATACTGTATACATACCTTATTTTGAAAACCGGGCTTTGTCACGTGTGTATCGTCGCGCTAAATTCATTAAGTCCAACCGGTAAGGTAAGACTCCCACACTGCACAGAGAAACTGACAGGATAAAGTCGCTAACCTGCCTGTCAGCTCGCTCTGGTCTGTTACAGTGGATTTACCATAAAGGCTTTAATACTTGTGTACTAGGCGCGGCAACTTAATTGCCTTTTCACAAACAAGGGACAGAAACAGACCATTAACATTACCGTAGTTACCAAAAAAGAAAAGTGGTTGTCTTGAGTCGGATGCCAAAGTGTCTGAGCATGCGACCTTACAGCAACGCGAAGCAATGGCACAAAACACAACGTTAGAGGTCTGAAATGTTATGAGATGTGTAAAAATATTTTTGGTTCATTTTGAAACTATGGCGGAGCACATTAGACTATGGCAAGCCTCCTTGGTGTCGTTAATTAGTAGGAAACACTGCTCTCCCCTTCTTAACATCCCTCTTTCATAGATGTGCAAAAACACATTTGTTCTCTCTCTCTCTCTGTAATTCTCTTTCATTTTCACCTTACCTATGAGAAAATGTAAATGAAACATATTTCACTTTACTGCAGACCAAAGCACACAATGGTGGTTTAGATGTTTCATCGTGAACATCATCATCTTCAACAGGATCTTAACATCATGAACTACCGAGGACCAAATCTGATAGCAAATTTAATTTCTTCAAACTTCAGTGGGAGTTGAGAGGAAGCCCAGGTTTTGGATGTTGCCTGTGGGCCAGAACAGTTAGCTATAGTGGTATGGCTGCAGACCTAAAACTCTACTGCTGTGCAATCATCAATACCAAGTGACTATAATGTCATTGAGTGTGAGTGAAAATTCAGAATGTCAGGTTATACACCAGTGTGAAGGATCTTATACAATAATCAATATTATAACCTTTCTTTCACCTAGTAATTATTAGCACAGTTACAGAGAGCTTATTACAAAATGCTTTACAATATAAATGTCAGTTTGTCTTGTCTCCAGCCACATTCCCCATTTCCCCAGGACCCTTGATTTCCATTTTCCGTCCATCCACCATCCTATCAGCCTCGCGGTTTACTGTTTGCTTTACACCATGTCAGAGCTGTATGAAGTTTCTGCTAATTCAAACAGACCATTTTCTGCAGTTGGTCCTTCACTTTAAAAGCATTCAAAGCAAAACACAGGGTGGCTTTTATTGTGAAGCAACCACAGGAAATGTACAAAGTATCAGCCATTAGTATGCAAAATAGGACTACAAAACACCACAATAGTCCTTTTTAGTTGAAAAGCTGCTGACAAAAAGCTCCCACACCTCCAACTCCTCAACAACGTAACTAGCTTTACTGTTGTACTGTTGTTGTGTGAAAATTATGTTTGCATGCATGATCGTAGGGCTGGACAATTAATTGAAAAGTAATCAAAACGGAAATTCAGAGCCTCTAACGATGTAATTTCACCATGTCGGTTATTAATAAAAATTTTCCCTACATTGTGTGTTCATATAGACTTTCCCCTTAAAACTACTGTGTGTGGTCACGTGACTCCGCCTCATCCAGTCCTGCTGAGCTTCTCATACTGCAATACTTTCTTGTAAAGAGACAAAAATGACAGGATAAAGTCACTAACCTGCCTGTCAGCTCGCACTGGTCCGTTTCAGTGGATTAACCATAAAGGGTTTAATAGGTGTGCACTCCAAATTTATGTACGGCTAGCTTAATCGCCTTCTCACAAACGAGTGACATAAACAGACCATTAACGTTACTATAGTTACCTCAAAAGAAAAGTGGTTGTCTTGAGTCGGATGCCCAAGTGTGTGAGTGTACAGCAGCGCCCACAAAACACAACGTTAGAGGTCTGAAATGTTATTATGAGATGTGTAAAAATATTTTTGGTTCATTTTGAAACTATGTCGGAGCAAATTAGACTGTGGCGGGCCGCCATGGTCTCATTTATTAATGGGAAAAAACTGCCTTATTAATTAACATTTAGATAATCTGTGAATCAAATAAATAAATGAACCCAGCTTCAATAATTGAGCATATTTTCTGTTCAAACCTTGTCAGTGATTTATGAGGGCAAAAAGACAACACAACATTCAAAAAGAAAATAATCGTTCAATAATTGTAATTGTTGTGATTTTAGGTGAAATCGTCCAGGGTTAGGTATTTTTGACAGGTTTCTTTATTAAAACATGTTGCTTACTTGTAGGGCTGTCCCCAACTAAGGATTTACATAGTCGAATCAGAATCCTCAACTCCTGCCTATAGTCGAATCATATGTGTTTTTGTGCACTGCGATTGCGAGACGAAGCTTAACTGAGGCTTATTGTGGACACTTTTCTCTCTCTCTCGCCTGCCATTCACCGGTCTTGTGCACAGTTTTGCGTGCATGCCGTGCTGCCAACAACTGCATGCACGTCGCGGTTCCCCGTGGGTCTATTTCAAGTAGCCGGCTGTTTAAAAACAAGATAATATTCTTTGTGTGGTTAATCAAGGGTGATAAATTATCCGAAAAGTCCCGGGAGGTGGGGACAACTCGGCACAACACCAGTGAAGCTGGGGCTCCGTCTCTTCAGCAAGTGTACACACATAAACGCTACGCCTACACATGCGCACTGACGACCCAGGGTTAGGGTTACAATTTTGGATTTATTCACACACATTTATTGAAAGTTTTTTTTCTTACACATTTACAGCATTAAACATTGAAATATCTCTCTATCTATCTCATCTATCTCATCTATCTCTCTAGATAGATAGATAGATAGATAGTAATAGGCTGTATATTAACTTATTGGGAGAAAATTAGATGTTGAGCACCCCCATATCGGCAAAATGGCATGATCCTTGTTTCGCTGCCATGCTTCGACTGTGAGATTGACAGTCGAATCAGGCTCCACCCAAGGAAGCATTGAATCTTCGACTATTCGGGGGCCAGCCCTAGTTGCTTGTAAATAGATAGAAATCTTAAGGATTACAATTTTAAAGGGCTTAAATGATGATAATGCAAATTAGCTACCCGTTTCTTGCAGTAAACTTCAGAGATGAGCGAATGTTTTTTTTTAGAAAAAGGACAATGTCAGACTGAATAACTGAGTGGTAATAAAATGGCCATTCAGTTTGACTATTATGCTTTTTTGTGCTTTTGTGTTTTTTGTTCCTTTGCTGTCCAGTAACTTTTACTCACATAAATTTGCAAGTAACAGCTGAAACACATTTGAACCAGAGCCCTTTAAAGAGAGAATTGTATTCATGGAGACTGCAGATAGTTCCCAGAAGTCCTGGGCGATCAATTGAAAATGAGCGAGAGAAACGACAAAACTGTGATTTTTGGTAATTTATACAATAAATGCGTTGATTTACAATATTTGTAAAGCATAATGACAGCTACATATTTGGGGCGTGGCTTAGTGAAGGGTCAATTGCATAACATGTATGGCAAAAAAAAATTAGGCCCTTTAAAATAAATGAGTCTTTGGGTTTTTCCTTTTATAGTCATTTAAGTCTGTCTGTTTTGTGATCACTTTTTGTATTGGTCAATCCACAGTCAATCCTTCTCTGAACTATTGAGCTCTCTAAAATGTTTGTCACCAGTTCTGTGAAAGTTTCCTCTTTTAAAAGGAAAGTTGGCAGTTGAATTGTATGTAGCAGCTCAGGCAACTGGTACTGTCCTACCACCAAATGGAGTATTCACTGAGTCGACCTGCTTCTCTTCAAGATCACACTGGGAGGCTCGCCATCAATAGAAAGGGATCTTTGTGGTAGTTCTCACTCGGTCCATAATATCTGATCTGTTTGCAAACAGGAATGTAAAATGTTGTTTTATATGTAGTACAACAATCACACTAAAAAGCATAAAATAACCTGTAACATTACGCATCACATGCTGCATAATATTCATTGACCACATGTTCAAGCGTATTTGTCACACTTCAACAGAAAAACATCTGTTGTAGGAATATTTTACAGGAATAAGCTACTCTTATAGAGGGAGAGGGAAAAAGCCAAAAGCATAATACAACCTCTTTAAAACAAAGACAATTACCATAAATGCAGCTGTACTCTGCTAACTTGATTTTTACCTAACTATTTTCAGTTGCATTGTGCTGCTGATTAAAATTAGAAAACATTAAACCACTTTAATATACATTTCTAGGCTCTGGGCCACTTACATTCTCATAACACTCAATACATGTAGGCAACGTAGCACTGCACACATAGTTAGCAACGTTAGCATCATGCAGTTCGCTAGCTTACCGACACAAACAGAGGTGGGAAACAAGATTTTCCGACTCCCGGTTGCTTCTCCTTATCCTATCTTCTGTGATGGTTTGTTACCTTGCTAATATACTCACTTTTAACACACTGTTAACTTTAATTCTGTTACTTTCCTCTGTTTTCTCCTGTTGCCATCTCTCTCTTTCTCACGTACACACCGTAGACACACGCGCGCAGGGTCACGCAGTTGCGTCCTGACCTGTCAATCAAGTTCAGCTGGGAGGGGGAAATATGGTTTCTGATTGGCTGATGTTTTTAAAGTGACATTACGTTATTTTATACTTTTTGTATAAGTTTAATAAGTTTTTTTTAACCCTGTATTATCACTGGGTTACATGTACATGCGCCGTTTTAGATACAATGGACATATTTAAAATACATTTTAAATGTGTTTATGTGTTTAAGTTACATTTAAATGTATCACTGGGATTTGTATTAAGAGAACCTAATATGTTTGCCACATCAAATCACGCAGGTGATTGCTGAAGTCCACTAAAACAAACAGTCCTATCGATTTTCACGTCTTTTCCCTCCAGGTGGCTTGATTTGTGTCACAAAGACTCAGCTGTTGCTGTGGAGAAAGAGCTGCACATCCTGGAAGTGGAAAGCCTGTGGGCTAGCATGGGGATAAAGAAGTCTGACAGATACATGAAAAATACATGTGTGATAGACAGGTAAGATACACAAGAGAGATATATCAGTGGAACACCTGATCAGAAAACCCCTGTTCAGAAAACCCCTCGTGACATGAGAATTCATCAGAATCACAGGCCGAAGTTAGATTTTTTTGTAGAAATGGTTAAAAAGCTAAAACAATGAAGCTGTCATTGTGCACATCTTAATCATATAAATTTGATGTATTCGTCAAGTATTTTGTGCTTTATGAAATAAAAGAATACAAGTAAGGCATTTACTTTTTCAATACATAAACATGCTACACGCCAGGAAACTTCCTAGTATTCAAGATGAGATTACGATATACAGCATGAGCATTTAATTTTTTGCCTCCATTTTAAGCCTCTGCATATAGACTTAATGTAAACAGAACTTCTGGCATCTTTTCCAGGGTCCACCTTGCTGTTAAACTGTCAAACCGTAAACTTTACAGTTAAACTGAATTTCAACTTATTAAGGAATGTATCTACAGATTTTGGGTAAATGGAACTTGCTTTACCAGATTCTAGCATTTTATGATTTTACTTCTCATCTACTGTAGCTGCTCCTGATATAAGGTGAAAACAAAGGGCAACATACTGGAGAACTGCTGGTGCTTGAATTTTGGAGTTGCCAGAAATGCCAGACCACTGGTACTCAAAAAAGCTGTGGCTAAAGGTCACATGTGGCACTTATGCTGGCTATTATGGGCTGTTGCAAATTACAACTGATTTTTCAGGGAGACAGGGTTGTTTGTTCAGTAATAAGATTTTTCACCTAGATTCTACAAACTTTTATGTAATTATTCAAATTTCAGTAGTGACATTTAGTGACATTTTAGTGAATTAAACTGTCCACAGAGAATTAGCATATGTGTTATCTAATTTCTGTATGTTTTCCTCCTATTATCTAAGCAGTCAATAGCAATTAGCAGCCATATGCATATAGGTAAGATGGACAGGCTCATTTTAGTGGCTTATTGAAAATCAAAGACTTATTGGCAGGCAGGTTGGTAAAGGTACGGGGTTAGGTTCCGGTTCTGGCTTGAAACAAAGGCATTAGATACATGGCAACTTTGATGGTCTGGCAGGGAATGAATGGAACTGAGCTACACTACTTATTTAAATACATCTTTAAATGAAAGAGAATTGTCTTAAAATAAAAACCAAATAAATGGAGACTGTAAACATTAAAGTAGGTCATTAATGGATTGTGAGATGGAATAAAATGAGGCAGACATATTGGGATTGTGGAAAGTCAAAAAGTTCCTCATTCAAGTCACTCAGTGATAGTGTGACGAAATATAATTTTTTTTTTCCATGGGCACATAGGAACACCCTATATATATATACACAAGCACGGCTCCTTCTAAGAAAAACAGTGGAGAAAAAGAGTGAAAACATTTCATATAGTCTAGATTCATTACACACAAATTAAAATATTTCAGGCCTTTTTGTTTTAATCTTGATGATTACGGCTTTGTCAGGGTTGTGTGGTGAGGCAGTTTGGTGGACCCAAATGCAGGTAATCCAGGTAATCCAAAAATAATAACAGTTCAAACAAACCAGGCAATCCAAGTGAAAAATCCAAGAAGGGAAAATAATCCAGAAAGCAGGGAGACACAACACACAGGGCAGGCTAAACACAACAACATGTGACAGAGCATATACACATGACAACGACCGGACAAGACTAAACAGAAACACCAGGTATATATACACACACACAAAGGGACTAACGAGCAGGGCGGGAGCAACACAGGTGACAGGGATCAAGGTAAACGAGGCAGGCAGAGAGACAGCAGGGAAAATAGAGAGGCAGGCAGGCAGAGTGATAACTGGGGGAACAGACAGAACACTTGACAGGCAGACATGGGGCAAAATAGATAACCAACACAGACAGAATACATGTTACAAAATACCAGACAAGAATCTAACTTCAGACAATAACAGAAACCCATGTAAACAGACAAACACCGACCAATTATAACACAGGGATCATAACAGACAAAACCTAAACAAGAACACAGAACTAGAACACAGAGTACAAAGCAGACTAAACCATAATGATGCAGAGAAAGAACTAGAAGCAAATACTATGACATGAACTAAGGCACAGGACTAGGAACAAAGACATGGAACAAATAACCCAGACAAGACACACAGACTAAATAACAGATACAGAAAGGACTACAAATAACAGGACTGACTGAGAACTAAATGAACAAAGCAGAACAGACACGCCCACAGTGTGACAGGCTTATAGCTCATGGAAATCAAAAATCCATATCTCTCTCTGAGATGCATCTATATATATATATTTATATATTATATATAATTTTTTACATACACTCACTTTAATAGGTACACCTGTTCAATTGCTTGTTAACACAAATAGCTAGCTATAATCACAATCAATCACACAGCAGCAACCTAATGTACTTAGGAATGTAGACATGGTCAAGACAACTTGCTGAAGTTCAAACCAAGCACCAGAATGGGAAAGAAAGGGGATTTAAGTGACTTTGAATGTGGCATGGTTGTTGATGTCAGAGGTCAAAGGAGAATGGGCTGACTGGTGTGAGATGACAGAAAGGGTTACAACCGTTACAACTAAGGTATGCAGTATACACGCACAACACGTCGAACCTTGAAGCAGATGGGCTCCAGCAGCAAAAGACCACACAGGGTGCCACGGTTGTCAGCTAAGAACAGGAAACTGAGGCTACAATTAGAACAATTCATCCTTCTGTGTATAAAACCAGCTCACCAGCCCTTTCCCTTTGCCAGGTCTTTATGTTGTCAGTGTTTTTCACATGTGTTCAAGCCTTATGAACCTGTTCCTGTTTTCCTGCCTGATATCTTCTACCTGGATTTTGACCTGCATCCTTTTATGTACTGCCTGTTAATTAGAACATTGGTTAAGTAAACCTCTTTCTACTAAACTGTTCTACCTCAGCGTCTGCATTTGGGTCCTCAATCCTATTGCATAGTATACACACCTCAATAAAATCACAATAAAATGTAATTCACAAAACTGTGATCTTCAAATTCCGAAGAAAAAAATGTGATTTGGTTCAAACAAACTTAAATGGGGCTTAACTAGCCTTTGTAAAACTATAACTTCAGGTTCCACAGTCCATAGACAAATAAAAAGCACTTCTTGCACCATCTTCTCTCTGCATGACCCATGATGAAGGGTCAGTGGAAAAGATTTCTTTGCAGCTACAGAGAGAAGAAAATAAAAACAGAGGTTTAACATTTGTCACAGTCTGGCCCTCTGCAACAAAGATTGGAGACCAGACGAGTTTTCAACAAAACAGTAAACATTTTATTTTACAAAATAACACTAAAGAACAGAAGAAAGTGGAAGTCAGTATCAGTCATGCAAGCATGTATGGATGTATGGAAATGTCAGCAGAAACAAAACAACCAGCAGCTGTGCCCGCTGTGAGAGAGAGAACCACAGGAAGGTGGAGAGCTTGTCATCCCGGCCCTGAGCTTGTCATCCCGGCCCTGCTGCAGGACAAGCTCTCTCAGCTGAACGTGCCTGACTCCACCTACAGGTGGATCACTGACTTCCTGACGGACAGGAAGCAGCACGTGAAGCTGGGAAAACATGTCTCTGACTCCAGGACCATCAGCACCGGTTCCCCTCAAGGCTGCGTTCTTTCCCCCCTTCTCTTCTCCCTGTACACCAACAGCTGCACCTCCAGTCACCAGTCTGTCAAGCTCCTGAAGTTTGCGGGTGACACCACCCTCACTGGGCTCATCTCTGGTGGGGATAAGTCCGCCTACAGGTGGGAGATCGACCATCTGGTGACCTGGTGCAGCCAGAACAGTCTGGTGCTCAACGCTCTGAAGACCGTGGAGATGGTCGTGGACTTCAGAAAGAGCACAGCCCCACCCTCCCCCATCATCCTATGTGACTCCCCAGTCACCACTGTGGACTCCTTCCACTTCCTGGGCACCATCATCTCCCAGGACCTCAAGTGGGAGCTGAGCATCACCTCCCTCACTAAGATGGCCCAGCAGAGGATGTACTTCCTGCGGCAGCTGAAGAAATTCAGCCTGCCAAAGACAATGATGATGCACTTCGCCATAATTGACTCCATCTTCACCTCCTCCATCACCATCTGGTACGCTGCTGCCACTGCCAGGGACAAGGGCAGGCTGCAGCATATCATTCGCTCTGCAGAGAAGGTGATTGGCTGCAATCTTCCTTCTCTTCTGGACCTACACGCCTCCAGGACTCTGAGGCGAGCAGGAAAGATTGCAGCTGACCCCTCCCACCCCGGATACAAACTGTTTCAGTCTCTCGCCTCTGGCAGGAGGCTGCGGTCCATTAGGACCAAAACCGCTCACCACAAAAACAGTTTCTTCCCATCTGCAACTAGCCTCATTAACAAGGCCCGGGTCCCCTACTGACACTCCCCCCTTTCAAATAATACAAATGTCTCTGAACATGTAAATACTGTTTCATCTCGCACATATTTGTTGTTGATTGTTGATCTTTGTTGTT